TGCGTATACCCAGCTGATGTTCGCTTTGGAGTCGATGTCAACCTGGGACGCAATAGCGCGCGCATCAGTGCTGTCCCCAGTCTGTCCCCCACGTACACACATGTTCAGCTCATGCTCATGAGGCACACCAATGCCGACCCGAACCACGTGTTGCTCATGCTGGCTTCCACACACCTTCAACTGACGCCCCTGATTGAATGAGATTGAATGAGTGACCTGCAGGCCGATAGGCAGCCACCTGCACTGGGACCGCGATGAACGTTGAGCAAAAAGGCGTGCCATAAACAAAAAAAATGCGTTCCCGGCCGGCCTCGAAATTCTTTCCCTCACAGTTGGAAGCTTTCGCGCGAATTATGGGTGGGAAATGTGGATGGACCATGCAAAAACACAAGTAGTTGTAAGTTTGGCAAGCGAGTGTTACAATTTTCATGCGCGTTTGATGCATCTGTTGGGGTGGTACGCACGAGCAAATTTGCAGTAATGCTTGGGCCATGTTTCAGACCAGCTTTGCAAATGAAGCCGTCGTTGGAAATCACGCACGCGCTCAGTGCTGCCAGATGCTACCAGTGCGGGCCCCTACCTATACCCAGCTGATGTTCGCTTTGGAGTCGATGTCAACCTGGGTGGGGAGTCCTGCCGCTTTTGTGGCTGCTGTGCTGATGCTACAAGGCCGTATGCGCTCTCCTGCATGTTAAATTGTGGTGCGCGCAATTGCGCACACAACAGTGCCATCCCCCACGCGGACACGCTGTCAGCTCATGCTCATGATGCAACCGATGCCAAGCCCGAACCCAGCCCAGCCCATTTTCATGATGGACAGCAGTTCCGGCCCTATACACACCTTTGGCGGGTGCTCATGCTATTTCATGCTGCACGTTAGTGCTGGGCCAATTTCGAGTGGCAGGCACGTGGCAGACCAGCGCTGCATGGATGATGCGTGCCGGGGGGCCGTACAGCTCACTCCCCTTCTCGACTTGTTTGCAAAAAATAGCAGTGCAACGTGTCTAGGGCAGCTGATGACGTCTGTCGGAGGACCTTGCTCAGCGTTCATCGTCGGTCGCGCTTCGTCGCTCCACCGTGTTGTCCGGCTTTGCCTGCCGCTTCCTCCAAATGCAGCTGCCGATGGCGTTGGCATGTAGATGACCGGGAATCAGTTCGCAACATGCCTTGGGCAACCGTGTGGCAGCATGTGCTTGTCCGTGATCTCAGCGTCGTGCTTGCTCGGCGTGACGAGCGTCGTATCGAAGTCATCGTACGGGGCGCAGGTCGCTGTCGATACTACGCGCGTTTTGTCCTCGCATCCTCAGTTGAACCACGGCGCGTGAGGGGCACCACAGCTGTCGCTGCGCTGCGTCCTGCCTGTCGAAGCAAAGAGTGGTCAGTGGGTGCATGGGCCCAGCCACCCTCCAGAGTCTCCCACGCCAGAGCAGGGGCACGGCCGCAATGTGGTCGCCCAGAACATTGGACATCATGAGCAACCCGACAGCGGCACTGCGCGCCTGTGAGTGGGAGTGGCAGCCTCAGGCGACGGAGGCCTGTGACTCAAGCAAGGCGATGGAGGACGGGTCGAGCTCACGCCGGAGTGCGCGGTGGCAGAAGTCATTATGCGACTCTCACTCCGAAAGCGCGCTCAGTACAGCTCCCACCCCAATGTGAAGGAAATTTTTCATGTAAGCATCAGCAAGAGCATGAGGAGGGCTCATGGTGCAAGCAACTGAAATAAGCATCCTGTCTCTTTGAGCTGGTGGGCGAGACATGATTGATCCAAATGACTGTCCTTGCAGCCTCGTTCACGCACACTGCTATGCAGTGCGGTGGCGCAAAGTTCGCAGGCCTGGAATCGGGCCTGCGCCCAAGACATCCCCCCCTTCGGGCGGGCGGGAGGGGAGAGCTTGAAAAAGTCTTCACATGAAAATTTCATGTGTGACTGCATCACATAAACTCATCACATTGCAACAAAAGGCCGTCCTACAAAAGCGAGAGGGTGTTCAAACACGTGTATGTGTAAGGACTTTTTGTCCCACCCTAGACTCGCGCAAGAAACTCCGAAGCAACATAAACCATCGTGCCCGCACTTAATCATTATGCGACTCTCACTCCGAAAGCGCGCTCAGTACAGCTCCCACCCCAATGTGAAGGAAATTTTTCATGTAAGCATCAGCAAGAGCATGAGGAGGGCTCATGGTGCAAGCAACTGAAATAAGCATCCTGTCTCTTTGAGCTGGTGGGCGAGACATGATTGATCCAAATGACTGTCCTTGCAGCCTCGTTCACGCACACTGCTATGCAGTGCGGTGGCGCAAAGTTCGCAGGCCTAGAATCGGGCCTGCGCCCAAGACATCCCGCATCCTTCATCCAACATGTTCCCGCACATTGGTGAATTGCAACTGCCTGAGCAAAGCTCCGGCCCATCTTCTTGTAACCGTAACAAAGACAGTCCTTTCGCGCCATACCGCCTGCATTCTGCCATTGAAAATACGGAAAGGGTTGAAGGTGTTGCTCCGCAGCAAAATCATCAACGATACAAACACCATGAGCCCCCCTCCCCGCAAGGTGGCCCAACCAGGACACCAAGCCCGTAAGTGCATAACCACAGCGCGGAAAGCCACCTGAACAGATAACCAGCAGCGCCTGGAAGGAGGCATCCACGAAACATCCACCATGGCCGCTTGCTCATGTAAATTGGAAGAGGCCGGCAGGGAAGCGGTGATGTTCCCAATCAGGCGCTGAATCTGGTCATGCTGAGTGGTGATGCTGACGTTCAGGGCTTGCCATAGCGGATTGGCCCACTGAGCCACAAACCGCACCTCAACGTAGCGAAATGCAAACATGAGATACCCGCTGGGCAGCACATAAGCCGAACCTGTCGCCGACCAATACAACCCGTGTACCTCCAAATCCGCAGCAGTGGAGGCGACGTACGGCAATGAGATGCCCACGGAAGACACCAAAGATGCCCAAAGAGCGAGAGCTTCTGAGCGATTGGTTCGAATAGCGGACTGGCCGTGTAGCGAATGAAGCCACTCCACCAGAACGGCGCTGTGAGCGCCCATGACCGACCCCTCAGTGGAGGTGCAGTGGAGATCGAGCAGGTCCACGCCCAACCACGCTGTGCGGATGAGATCCAAGGAGCCGGAGGTGAAGGCTAACACGGCCGAAGATGTAGTCGAGGCAAACTCCGTACCGTGATCCAACACCACGGCCGCCGCCACCGAGGCACGCTCCGACACCAAGGCGACGGAGGAGACTAGGCGCGTCACTTGCTCAACAAAGCCCCATTGGGAACATTGCGTGATGAGCAACAACATGCACAACCAAAAAGCTCCGTTCCTGCCAAAAGCTGCAAACCGGGCCCACCAGCGCTTCACACGTGAGCGCATCAGGCTGCGCGGAGTGCGACGCACAGCGGTGGAGGGGACCGCAGGAGCCGCCCGCGCTTGAAGCTCACCAGAGGTTGGCGGACGCGAGGCGGCTCGGCGGAGTGTGGGCCCTGGCGTGTGCGCCCTGGAAGGTCGTAGCCGGCGCCTAGGAGTGGAGGTTGGAAGAGGAAGGACGGGCGGTACTGGGACTTCGACGCCATCAAAGTCCAGCAGGGCGGGAGCCATGACCTGACCTGAAAATACCAGGCGGGAAATAGTCGCCAAAATGCTCCACACTGTAAGCCTGCGCGGCGCCCACTCCCCGTAAGTGAAAAGCCGCTTGAACCTGCGAGGCGGACACAATGTCGAGGTACGTTTTGAAGGACTGTTCCGACGCCCAACGCCCCCTTTGTCGGATGTCCGCCACGCCGCAGTCCCGTGAAAAACTCCTCAGTCGCAAAGCCGGCTCGAGGAGAGTGTGGAGTGAAGAGCTTTTCCAGCCCCAGATACGCCTCCGCTCGGGCCAAAAGTCCACGATATTGAGCGTACGAAACATTGAACAAATAGCTTTCAGGCTCCGCTTCGTACAACAGTTGCTGAAGCACACGAGCCACCACTGGATCACGGCCCCAATGAAGAGATGCAACTTGCTCACGCCGGACTTTTGTACCGCAGCCCACTCCCAAACGAAATACAAACTTTGGACAAGCAGCGGTTGGCCTGAGAACATCCTGCTCGCGCAGTCCGAGCAGCTCACTCGGACGAAGCCCCGTCAAGCACTGGACCACAAGCCCAATTGCCAAACAAGGGAAGCCTGCCGCCACAAAGAGCACTCCAAACAACTTGGCTGGCCCCGAAAGCAAAGGTAAAGTATGCCTGATTGATGTCACCCTGCACAAACCCTTTGCGACACGCTTGGAATAAGGCAGTAGGCCCTTCAGGGGCAAAAGATGAAACTCCAGCGCTGCGATCAATTGTTCAAGCTTGGAGTGTGATAAGTGACAGGAAGCCTTGTATTGCAAAATCAAAAGGTCCAGCTCTGCGGCTGAGCCAGGATTTGCGCCCGACTCTATCAAGAAAATGACAAACAACCGGAGGCACTGCTGATAGCACCTGAATGTGGAGGCTTTGACTGAAGCTATATGATGTGGGTCCAGCACACGCGGTAAACATGCGAAGGCCGATTGCCCTCCACTCATGCTTGAATCCTTGAGGCATGATCCGCGGGCATGCGAGACGTTTCCACCCAAGGTAGAAGCAAACGGATCCTGGAGGCCAAACAGACTGCAGCCTTCTTCCTACAATACACGTTGAGGCCCCAAGATGATGACCTACCGCGAGTAAGCACGGCTTTACACACCATATTGTCCTGCAAGGAATACCAAACCATGCCATGACGAGCGGGATTTGAAGCGACCCAGCGGAGTGCTTTCCACACAGCCCGTGTTTCTCCTATGCTAATATGATCAGCGGCCTTCCACCGACCTTGCAAAACCACTTCCCATCGGGATTCGCAAAACAAAGCAGCTGGAAGCAATGAAAACGGGATTGTTGGTGTCAAAGCTCTCTCTGGAAAAGGCATGCCGTCAACATCATCGTCATGCAAGTTTAGCGCCAAACCCAGCTGCTCTGAATTTGCTCTCAGTGCTTCCAGCTCAGCTTCACTGACCTTAGGCAAATGCCATAACCACCATGGTCAAGTTCGTTTTGCCCCATGGCATCTGTGGCCAGTAAATCCGCCGAAAAAGGCATACCCACATTCAAGAACATGAAATCAACAGCAGTCGCCATGTGAATGAGTTCTTGGCGCACCGATGGCCACAGCCTGACCGTTGAGCCATCGAACTTATCGATGAAGTTGTACACTACAAAAGGGACTGAATATAGTTCTCGCCTCAGCTGCGCTCCGAAAGACCAGAGGCCCACTAAACCACCTCGCGCAGAAACTTTCTCGCACGCCATCATGAAGTGAAGCCACAAGCGGTTAGCTTCTCGCAACCTCCCTTCCTCAGCGATGGTGAGGCCAGAACGACCCCAAGGGCAGCACCGAAGGCGCAGCGGCCTCGGGTAGCACAAAGAGTCACTTCTCCGTTCACGCTTGTGTCTGGCCCGGGAAACAGTAGAACATGGGGGACCTCCGATTATGATGTCAACGAAGCCTTCCAACATCCGCATGATCTCATGGAAAGTGTCCGGCTGCGCAACATCCCAACGAGCATCACAACCCAAGTCAATCGTGATCATCATCACCTGGAGTCCCTTTTCGGCGGCGAGTCGTTCAACATGATCCTGCACATCACCCTCTCTGCGCTCCCCTCCGAAGAAATTCATGACCACAATCGTGCGATGGTTCGCCGACCGTGCGGCACGGATAGCATCCCACCACTCCTGAACTGAGTAGCCGGACTCGAAGCGTTGTCCCGCCCCGACCTGGAAACGGGACCACCACTCATCATCCGTGCAACCAAATAGAATGCGCTCTTCATTTGGGGTTTCAAGGGGATCAATGGCCTCTGGATCCAACTTGGTGTCGCTTTGGCCTGTGCTGATCAAGGAATTTGCTCGCATTGCTCGCCCTATGGCCTGCAAATTGATCATCATCAAAATATGGACAGAATGGCTACATCCCATGGGCAGGCGCCTGTAACAGGGCGAAACCAAATCTGTCGCGCAAATGGTCTCCTGCAAGCCTTTGGGCAACACATCCCACACGAGCGCAGCAACAATCGGAGGCGTAGCTAAGTACGGACTCATCCATGCCGGTACTGCGACTTGCGTGAACGCATTGGACTGGTCACACGTTGCAAGCTCCAGCGTCTCTCCCGTTGCTACATGGACACGATTAAGCGCCCCTGCCCCTTGCATCCCTAGGGCGGAACGATGCCGCGGATCAGTGAGAAGGTAATTGAAAGAGCAACACATCAAAAGCTTGCGTTGAGAGATACCATCTTTTTTTGGAACCACCGAAAAACCAGCGACTGCCTTGACATCACGGAAGAGCCTCCACTCCCACATGCTGGCAGGAACATCCTGGCGGTGAAAGTAGCTCACATATTCGTCCAAGCAACCGCCTACAAACGCATATTGCTGTTCCAGCTCGTGTTGGATAACTGTGCTCTTTCCGATATGATCAATGACATTCTCTTCGTGGGAATAAAACTGGCTTTCATCACATGGCAATGCTTGTAACATGTCGACCACGTGTTCATCCGAAGGCTCCACGATACGTGCTGCTTCCATGGGCACTTGGGCATGCGTCTTGGAAACTGATGCATAACCCATCACGTCCACCTTGGCGGACTTGACGAGCGCCGCAACAGCTGATTGGCCGCCTGTCGGAGTGACCTCCCGGCGGACCCGAAGACCAGCTCTGCTCAACTCGAACAGGTGTCTCCACACAGCTCTCTGCGCCTGATTTGGTTCAGCCCGCGCCGCTGACCCAGAGAGCTTCTGCTTGTGTCTGTTCGTGCCCACATGCATGAAATTGAGAAAATGAATCAAACCGACTGTGTACTTCCAAAGCCGCAACCTCTTGGAAAACCTGTTTCTCAAACGAGCGGAGGATGAATTTGGAAACAACGGCTGCGGCGGCACTGGGAGCGGGAAAAGCTCATCATGCGCTGTGGCTGCTCCTCCGTCTTCTGCTGTTTGACTTGGCGGCGTCGCCCCCAATGAGCCAGCAGCTGCCCATGAGGGGCCGCCAGGGTGTCAGCCTTGAGAGGCTGCTGCGGCCGGTCTGCCGCCACCTACTTGTTTCTTAGCTCCTCGTCCTCGCCCAGCTCCCTTGGGTGCGCCTTTGGGTGCCCCCTTGAAGGTAGACGACTCTCCGCGCTGCGCCTTGGCCCTTTCACGGCGTTTGTGCTCGCCTTGGGCAAACAACGATGCTTCCGACACCAACCATGCCGGCGCAATGTCATGGGAAAGATTCGTTGGCTTAATGGCCAGCATAGACGTTGCTGCATCCCGATCGCCTGTTCGCTTCTCGTGCACATAAGAGGCGAGCCTCCTCAAGGCAACCTCTGCTGTGTCGCTGCGCGCAATCAGGGAGAGAGCCTGAGCCTGCGAACCCTTGGCGTCCTTCACGGCAAAGTCGACCAATGATGCTTGATTGAACAAGTCCAAGTACAACGCGTCGCCTCGACGATCTAATGGGATCATTTGGTTCAACCATTCGCGCGCGCTTCTTGCACCCGACGCTCGGAACGAAGCATAGATTTCTGGTCCAGCCCGTTTCAAGTCTGGTGGGAGGCATGCTTCCCAACCACCAAGGTCGTCATCCTCGATGGCATTCTCCGCATCCAAGAGCCCATTGTCAAAGAGAGGCGTGGAATGGGCTAACGCCCCACTGCTTTCCAATTCTGACAGCTTTTCTTTGAGCTCCGAGGTGCGCGGGGGTGTTCCACTGCCTGCACCGAGGTAGCCGAAAGTCCGCAGCAGTGCTTCCACACGAGACTCCAGCTTCCCGATGTCGCCCACTTCTTTCCAGAAATTGCGAGACCAGCTGGGTATGAGCGCAGAACGCGCCGCCCATTTGACCAGCAAACCCTTGACCAGCTTCGCCTGTGACTGGGTGGCTTCGATCGTGGCCATAGACAAGGGAGCATAAAGGTTGTCCTTGGCATCACTTCTGGGCAATGGTCCTCTCACTTCGGAATCCGGCAGAAGGGCCTTCGAACACATACTGGCCAGCTGATCACATTCAGGCTCGTCACCTGTGAGTTGCGCTACCTTCAATGACTCGCCACTAACCTGATACAGCAGGGCGCCGCTGCACAATGAGATGTCCACCAAGCCCGACTCGTGGGCATTTGTCACCACACCATATTCATTTCTGAAATCCTGGTATGGAGGCTTGTCCATCACCATCACGGCTTGCCCAACCGCCGGGCGCCAGCGAAGCGCAGGGGCAGGTGGCGGCGGGGCTCCGCGCAACGGTACACTAGCCAAGGAAGTGAGTGACTGCATCAATTCGGTCGAAGCTCCGCGAACGTGAACATTCTCGCTCGGCACTGCTGGGGATGAAATCACTGTGTCATTCATCTGCTCTCCTGAATCTGCTCCTCGTCTGAGTGGCGTGTCTGACCAATCATTAGATTGAGGCCAGTGTCTGCGCAATCCCTCACTGACGAGGGGCAAGATAATGCTTGCACATACCAGCATGAGGCGTGTGCGGCCCGTCCATGTCCCCCACTGCACTGCGAGTAGGCATGCCAAAGCCGCAAACCACAGAGCTCCGATAGCTCTCAAACGCCATTTGGCCCGGAGCCAAATCCTGCTAGCCCTGACAACCTCGAGAAGCTCTTCGCATGCGCCTTGCCAGGCATCGTCATCTTCGGCAAGGCAAGGAAGACGCGTGGCTGACTGAGTGCCTTGCGTTGCACCAGTCCACAACTCCCACATGAGCGTGCTGAAATCCTCCACTTCCCAGTCCATGTCGGGCTGCGTGAGGCTGGCTAAGCCCATCAACGCGACTGGAAAAACTGCACGTTCCTCATCGAGATTGCTTGGTCGCCTTCTTCCGAGCTCCTGCCTGGCCAGGCGCACTGCTTTGTCAAGTACAGCATCGGTTTGGTCCGACAAGTCCCGACTTAACAGGACCTGCCGTATGGCAGCCCTAGTGCTGCCCGCAACTCTCATGGCGATGAGCTGTCTAACGACGTACCCCACCCGTTTGAGAGCTTGAAAAAGTCTTCACATGAAAATTTCATGTGTGACTGCATCACATAAACTCATCACATTGCAACAAAAGGCCGTCCTACAAAAGCGAGAGGGTGTTCAAACACGTGTATGTGTAAGGACTTTTTGTCCCACCCTAGACTCGCGCAAGAAACTCCGAAGCAACATAAACCATCGTGCCCGCACTTAATCATCCACGGCCCGGGCCGCCAGGCGCTGCCATCCACGAGTAAGGTCGAGCTCAGGTTCGTCCTCTGCGGAGTGGGAGGGCCCGGTGACTCGTAACCAACTGCGGTGTGAGGGAGGCACGAGCGTCGCGGAACGACTCCAGGGAAGCAGGCACTGACTCACCAGATTGCAGAGCCGCACCAAGGGCGGTAGCGAAATCGCGGTCCCGCTGGGGTTGGGCACTCCAGGAAAACTCTGCGGTTGGGCACTCCAGGGAGACTCCCTGCCCGTGCGGGCCCGCAGCTCGTGTTTGAGCCTCTCAACCTCTTAGGGCCAAGAAGTCCTTTGCAACCACATGAACGAGTGTGAGAGATGAGACCAAAATCAGGGATGCCCCGAGTGGCCTGACCGCTACATCTGAGGGTGGCACCAAACAGGGGGACAACACGGCAGCGCTAGAGCTACAGGCCCAGCTGCGTCCGACACCCGGTGATGCAGGATGCGTCCATCCCGACAACACGGCAGAAAGCATGGACGGCCGTAGGGCGAGGCCCCCGACACCTGCATGAGTCTCCGGCGTCCCGCGAGATCTCAAGCACCACGCTTGCCAATGGGCCGTAACGCGACGCAAGAAGAACCTGACGGACCCAAGCAGATACCAGGCAGGCGTACGCCTCATCATCTGCAATGCCCGTTATGGGGGCCTCCGAACGGATCTGTGTGGTATATCCGCAAACCAGTGCCAATCCCCACTCACTCCACCAACTCCTGGCGGCGGCGCAGAGCCGCCCGGGCGCGCCAGGACCGCACCGCTCGTGTTTGTCGTGAAGCTGGGGCCACGGTCGCAACCAATGTTCCTGTAATGTCACTGAGCGCCAGGATGAGCGTAGAATCGAGGTCATCGCCTACGGATCCCTCTTGCTCTTGTGAGACTGGAATGGGGGGGGCTACATGGCCAAAAGGCATTTTAGTTTAGTTCACTTGTATAGATCTAATCTCTACTAGAGACTAGCCGGGAAGGGGGGTTGAGGAGTGCTTGGCGACCCGGTCCCCCAGCCCAGTGCCCGGCCTGCAGCGGGCTCTGTCAGGGTCCAGGTATCCAAAACCTTTCCAGGCGAGTGAGTCTCCCAGCGCAGGCCAACTTCTGGGGCTATGCTGCACACCGCCCTCCGGCGCAGGCAGAACACTTACCCCGAGCTCGCAGCAGGGGGCGCGCAAACCCTCTGCGTGCTCGGCAGCGAAGTGGGTGCGCGGTGGAACGCAGATGCCGTGCGGCTGGTCAGGCGCCTTGTCTGGACCTCGCTGGCCCGGAAGGGGCGAGCCGCTTGCCTGCCATTCCCGGCCGACCTGAACGCGGGGGCTACTCAACCCGATCACAAGCCCCAACCGTAATGCAAAGATACTCTAACCACAGTCGTCAAAAATGAGTGTTTGAGGTGCACAGTTCAGGCAATGGTTGGGCGAAGGAACAGTATCGATACCAGCTTGGCATGTGCAGCATTGTTGCATACAATTTTTGCATGGCGATGGCCTGTTCCACTTCAAGGACGGCAGGCCGCAGTTCAATTGGGTTGCACGGTGAATACACTCTTCGATGGCAGCGTGCCTGACCGCCCTCATGGAAAGACTCTCACAAATGTCGTGTGTTGGGACAGATGATTTGCATGAGACGGCCGATGTTGGCATTGTACGCAGCTGGGTGACCGTGTGAGCTTCGAGCCATGCAAGTGAGTGCAAGTGCGACTCATTCATGTTCATGCTTCGCGTTTCGTGCGACTGCGACAATACCTACTAGAGTCATGATGTGTGAACTTGGAAAGGGAGATCATCTCTCCTCCATGGCGTGGGCGAGATATGCGTTCGCTAGGTACGAGCACGAAATGCGAGCATGAGCCGCGCTTTCGTTTGTGTTGCAGAAAAAGAATGTTCACGCTCCGCATTCCCCCCCCCCCCCCCCCCCCGGAAATGTCGCATCTTGACAGCAGCTTGCCTACACCCCGGCGCGTTTCGCGCGGCGTCAGGCTGTGGCTCGAATCGAAATCATTGCCAAAGGACACTCCTTTGACTTCCTTTGGGGGGGCATGCAATTTGCCGTTGACGCTGCCTTGGTTTCCCTCCGTTTCCCTGAGTGCCGAAACCTTTGAGTTTGTCCGCCTGCTTGCACACTCGCGCTCCCATGCCGCCTTGGTCCGCTCTCCCTGCCATTCCCTGACCCTCCGCTCAGTGACGTTCTCGCCGACTTTTCTGTTGCATCCCCCCTTGTCAACCACCTAGCTCCGCGGACGGTCGGCATTTGCTTGCTGTGATGGACAACCTTGTGCAAAAACACGGCAGAAAAACCCATCTACGCCATAAGTTCTCAGCAGCGATCTTGCCTTGTAAGCCTTACAGACAACCGCTTAAATTAAGAGCCAGCAAGTGCCACACCCCGCACGTACATTGCGGCTGTCCAGTGGTGTGAACATGCGACCGCAGCAATCGGCGACGTCAAAGCTTGAAGAGATGCATGGAAACTACAACACATGAAGCTCATGTGTCATTGCCGCAGGCAGCTTTGCATCTTCTAGCTCGTGACATTTGCAGCCGCGTTCATTGTCGTTGTGTTAATTACCTGAAAACGTGGTCGGGGGTGAGTAGCATGCCATGGCTTGGTCCATATCGGCTGCAGTACCTTGGGGGCAGGAGAGACTTCCAACTGCATGTGTTGCATCCTTGTTTTGCAAGGAACGCGTCACGCAGAAAAACCCTACACCCTAAACCACAAACCCTAAACCCTAAACCCCAAACCCCAAACCCCAAACCCCAAACCCCAAACCCCAAACCCTAAACCCTAAACCCCCCCGACCTACTGAGGTGATGCGTTGCAGTTGGATTTTGGTGCTTGTGTTTCCATACGTCGGGGCCCGATGCCCAGAGTATTGCAAATCAAGCTTTGGCCAGCCGTGGCCATGCAGCCACTCGTTCGCAAGAGCGCGTCGCCCTGTATAAGGTGTGTCATGTTTAGGGTTTAGGGTTTAGGGTTTAGGGTTTAGGGTTTAGGGTTTAGGGTTTAGGGCTCCAACATATCATGATTTCGTCAACCGAATGGATTGGTTCACGTGCGGTTGTTAAATGTGTTCTTCTACTTCTATCACTCGCTGGCGCATGCGGCCGTCGAAATGTAGGTGGTTGGTATTCGGACACCGTTGAGTTCGAGGTGTGGGCTTCCAGCGTGGTTTTTCCTTGGGCAGTTGTTGTGCGCAAGTCTTGGTACTCCATTCTACACTGTCACGCCCTACGACGGCACAGTCGAGTGCACAGAGTTCGTAGTGGCCTTCTGGCGAGGGTTGCCCGTGGCTTCCAAATAAAGCTCAACGAACCTGCCAAGGATTTCACAACAATGGCACGTGCGAAGTGACCGTGGCCCCCAATCCGAACCGCAGTGCCTCGGGTGACCTGCACATCTCGGTGATCGGGCCTTACAGCGGCAACATTGGTGACATCATGACGCTTACCTAGCCAATACTTGAACTGTAAGTTTGTTTGGGCTTCCTTATTTAGTAAGAATACTAAAGGTTAAATTTTCTTCCCCTTCGTTATTGGGGAAGTAAGGACGGCGGCGGAGCCTCTTCTAGCAGCCGCCGCTCAAGAGATCGAAGACAGCGGCATCCTTCCCGGCTATCGCCTGCACGTTCATCTGGCCGATTCCGCATGCTCAGAGGCCGGAGGAACACTTGCAACGATCGATTCCCTCATTCATGGGCCAACGAAGCACGGCATCCTTGGCGATTGCCGCTTGGCAGCCCAGTGGTACCCTTCTGTACCCCTGACCCCTTTACTAGTTCTGGGTTCCCTTCTAAAGTAGCCAACCCCAAAAGGCGTGCCCTTATAATGATGTGGCTACTGGGGCTACTAAGGCTGCAGCCAGTCATGTGCGGCGATCAATGACGCCATGCAGCTTTTCAATGTGCTCCAAATATCACCGGGGTGTGATTCGCCTGGCCTAAGCGATCGGGACAGATTCCCTTACTTTACCCGCATGAGCCCATCGGATCGATACAAGGTCATTGCCATCTACGAAGTCATGAGAATGCTGAACTTCCAGCGGGTGAGTGCCGTCAGCGGTCCAATCTACACACTGGGCGCGAAGGCCTTCTTTCTGGAGTCTTGACCGCACTGTTGCATGTTCATAGGGTTTTGGCTGATGGTGTTCTTCATCAGGGGCCAGAATTTCGAATGTAGAGTGCAGATTCGACACGGGGCATGTTCGCAGGTTTTGGCTGATGGTATTCTTTTTTTGCTTCAGGGGCCATCGTATCGAATGTAAAGTGCAGATCCGAAACATCCAGATTCAGACGAGGAATTGCTGCAACGGGATTTGGAGAACGGCACGTACCCCTGGACGCTTCTCGTTGATGCAACGGTCACCAACATGGACGAGGGAAGGAAGCTCGTGAAGGACCTCAAGAAGCATCTAAATCACCCTTGGGAATTCTTTTCTTGATTTTTGTTTATATAAAACCCAAGAGGATGTTTAAAACATATGTTTTTTTCTTAAGGTTCTAAGGGGAGTAAAGGTATGACTCTCGCATCAACATGTTTGCAATGCCGGAGTTCACGGGCATGCCGTTGCTTTGCGAGTTCTTCCTGGCAGGCATGCTTCCCCCGGCTCCTTGGACTGCAACTCAGATGGCCAAAAAGGCACAGACTGGGTTTAGGGTTTAGGGTTCAGGGTTTAGGGTCATTTTGGTCTTTTCCCATATTCTTGGTAGCCCAGTGGTACCCTTTTCCCTTTTTTTTGGCTCAAGGTTTCCCTTAATGTAACCAACCCAAAAGGGGTGCCCTTATCATGATATGGTTACTGGGCTACCAGGTATTGGTTTTTTCAGAGGGTCAGATTCAGGAATATGATTTCAGAGGGTTTTAAGGCCATCCCAGAAGAGAACGGCGCTTGCAGGGGATGTTAGGCTTGGGATTTCGGGTTAAGGGCAGGTAGCGCGCAGAGCCCAGATCCAGAGAAGGTTCATCTAAGGTTTAGGGTTTAGGGCTCAGGGTTTAAGGCTTGGGTTTTATGGTTTAGGGTTTAGGGTTTAGGATTTAGGGTTGTTGCTTGATTGCTCGGCTGGTTAGTTCGGGACTGGGGTGGATGCGATTTTTTCGATCGATACGAGGCTTGCCTCCAATGCCCACTCCCCCGCAAAGCTCTGCAAAACCCTAGGCCCTAAACCCAACTCCACCATGGTGCTGTTGAGACCAGGAAACAGCACGCCCAGTTTCCAACAAAGGAGGCCCAAGAAAAGTCCATGTAGTTGGAAATTTGATTCATCAAGAGATGACTACTATTCGCACAACCCCTACAGCAACCCCCCCCCCTCCCCAAAATAAAAAAGCAACAAAAACAACAACACTAGAAACAACATCCCAGATCACCCTTTTTAGGAAGAATATTGTACTGTTCGAGGGGTTCTTAAGCAAATAGTAGATGAAGGAAGCATCACAGCCCAGGAGTACGTTTGGTTCATTGCCGCTTTCGACAATTGGGTGCCAAATATCACCGCATCCTTTGCTGGCACCGATGACGCTTGGTTGCCAGATGCAAAAACTCAACAGGGACGACCGAGTACCGGGACGACCCTAAACCCAAAGCCCGAAAACCCTAAACCCTAAACCCTTTCTTGGTGGGTTTTGTGCAGCTGGTACATTGTGAGCATTCCCTGTCGCTTGCAGCACGGTAGCAAGTTCGGCTAGCCGCAGCACGAAGATGAAGTAGTAGGTTGCTGTAGTGGCAGCAGGAGTCCCACAGAAGCATGGCCATTGGTAGCGCCGTGTGCAGGGTTTAGGGTTTAGGGTTTAGGGTTTAGGGTGTAGGGTGTAGGGTGTAGGGTTTCTACTTTGACATATTTGGATGTCGTGGCGGGTTGAAAAGTGGCGGCGGTTTTCGTTTTCCATTGTTTGCCACGTTGTCACCCTACGATGTTGTGCATGACGTCGCGGAGCGAATGCCCCCGCAAACAGCTATGGTTTACGGGGTGTTTGCGAAAATGGGGAACCCCCTAACGTAGACCACAGATCGTAGTAGGATCCCTAATATCCCTAAACCCTAAACTATAGCTTCAACAATGCAAGGGCTGCAATTGCACGGCCGAGCAGTTGCACCAGGTGTCCTTGCTGGCCCAGTGGTACCCTTTTCCCTTTTTGTTGGCTCAAGGTTTCCCTATAAGGTAACCAACCCGAAAAGGGGTTTAGGGTTTAGGGTTCCGGGTTTAGGGTTTAGGGTTTAGGGTTTAGGGTTTAGGGTTTAGAAGGGTGCCCTTATTATGATATGGTTGCTGGGCTACCAGGTGTCCTATGGCCTCATTGTCAGTGGGCGAGGACCCATTCAGGCGACCAGCGCCATTCATGGACTCTCCGGGCGCAGACTTGAAGCTGGGTTAGAGTTTAGGGTTTAGGGTTTAGGGTTTAGTGTTTAAGTTCCCTTCTTTCCTTATGAGGGAACCTGTGCATAGATTATTTTCAAGGGGGTTTAAAGCACAACTCAGGAAGACATTGCCACCCAATACTTTGCGGAATGCCAGGCGTTCGGTGCCGGACAGGGGGCATGTAATGCCTTGTGGTCTGGCTACTTCTATGATGGCTTGTGGCATTTTGCCACGCTTCTGCATACGTACTTGGTTGTGCAGAACCATTCCATTGCAGACTTAGGAACCCCATCATCACGTCAAGCGCTCTACGAGCTGTCCCTACGTCAAGACTACATGGGTTTGACAGGACCCGTTCGGCAGTTCAACAGCATAGAGCCTACCACAAACCCTCCGTCGTATGGAGACCGAGATGGGCTCATGCTTCTTCGCCAGATGGCCGGTGACATCGGCAACGAATTTGTTGACGTGGCACTCCGCACGAGTGCGAACATCAACTTCCTCACCGATCTGCGTTGGAGTCCGCTGGACAGCACCAAGAGAGTACCTTGCAGTGTGGGAGGGTCTTGTGACATTGCGGCAGCTTGGATTCCAAGCGACAGGATAGACCAATGTCCACCAGGGACTGTTTTCTCTGTGGCGCTAGGCTGCGTCGCATGCCTCCCCGGCAAATATGCCAACTCCAATATGACGGAATGTGAGTCATGCGGCAGTGGGACGTTTGCGAATGAGACAGGGCAGGGGACGTGCACCCCGTGTCCTCCAGGAACTTTCAGCAATGCACTCGGCGCAGAACAGTGTGAGCTTTGCGGCCAGGGCTTTTATGCAAACACTTCGTCCTCGACATCATGCACGAAATGTGATCTTAACACGTATGCATCCGACAAGGGCCTGGAGTCATGCTTCGCATGCCCATCTGGCCTCACCACAGATTCCTGGTAGCCAGTGGTACCCTTTTTTTTGCCCTGTTGTTGGTTCAAGGTTCCCTTATAAAGTAACCATCCCCAAAAAGGGTAATTACCCTTATATGACAAGAATTTAACATGGCCACTGGGCTACCCTAAGGACGTTATGGGCGCCGTGGATGTTGAGGCCTGTTTGTGCCGGGGTTCACTGTGGGAAGGGACGTGTTTGGTCTGCGACAGCAGCACTCGCTTTGAAGAAGGCCGATGTGTGGACTGCGGCAACTCGATCAGTGTTAGGGATCCTTTTTACTTTTTGGGTTATGGGCTTTCTTATAGATGAACAAAAAGGATCCTTTTTACTTTTTGGGCTATGGGCTTTCTTATATATGAACAAAAAGGATCTCTTATATATGAACAAAAAGGATCCTTTTTACTTCCTAGGGGAACAGGGATTAAGGCAAGGGCTTGGAGTGCGACGGCAGTGACGCAGCCTCGCTCAAGTATGGATTCTTCGCTGATCCTGATGACCCCTTCAACGTCTTTGCGTGCATTCCTTTCGAGCATTGCCCCGGCGGAAAACCCGGGACTTGTGCCGGAGGACGCTTGGGAACGGCATGCTCCGAATGTCCGTTGGGGCAGTCCTGGCAGACAGACACCTGTGCGGACTGTACCCCGTTCAGCTTAGTGGGCTGGATAGTGGCCGGCATGGTCGCCATGTGCGGCATTCCGATGGCATACTACTTCATGAACACGAAGCAGACCTCGAAGGCCACCACGATGCTGGCAACGTCTTGTGGGGTTGCTTGAGAGCCCAGTGGTACCCTTTTCCCTTTTTTTTGGTTCTGGGTTCCCTTATAAGGTAAGCAGCCAAAAGAAGGGTGCCCTTATTGGAATATGGTTACTGGGCTACTAAGGTTGGCATGACCATCAACATGTTGCAAAGCATCGGCATCGTCGGCTTCATATCATTCTCATGGCCACCGGCCTTGCAGTGGTTACTGGATCCCCCTTGGGAATTGTTTTTTTTTTTTTTTTTTTTTTTTTTTTTTTTTTTTTTTTTTTTTTTTTTTTTTTTTTTTTTTTATTTTTTTTTAATATTTGTTTATATAAAACCCAAGAGGATATTGCAAAAGATAGTGTTTTTATTAAACCCTAAACCCTAAACCCTAAACCCTAAAGAACCCAAGAGGATTGTTTTTCATTGAGGTTCTAAGGGGAGTAAGTAGGCTATTTGGCTTGATGAGCATCTTCACCTTGGATCTGCAAGCCATCGGCTTCGACTGCGTTTCCTCCAACCCAGTCTCTTGGCTGCCCCAAGAGCGTGTCTAGAGCCTCTGGTAGGTTCAAAACCCTAAACCCTAAACCCTGAACCCTAAACCCTAAACCCTAAACCATTCCCGGTCACCCCTTTTCAAAGAAGGGTCGTCCTAACAAGTTCCTTGCCAACCCATAGACCATCGGAAAGTAGTTTCGGGAGAGCATTCGGTCCACTCCAGCCGTCAAGAGGCCTATAAACCCTAAACGCTAATTCCTAAATCCTAAACCCTAAACCCTAAACCCTAAACTCTAAACCCTAAACCCTAAACCCTAAACCCTAAACCCTAAACCCTAAACCCTAAACCCTAAACCCTAAACCGAACCCTAACCCTAAACCCTAAACCCTAAACCCTAGGTTTTCATGAGACAGTCTGTACCTCGCCTGGCTTGTCCGAGTGTGACCGATTAAACCCTCAAACCTAAACTCTAAACCCTAAACCCTAGACCCGAAACCCTAAACCCTAAACCCTGCCATACCCGACTCATTGCAGCCAAGGTCTTGGGCTACGTGTCAATCGTCAGTGCTTTGCCAGCCGCATTGACTTTGGGTCATGGTTGGAAATCATTTTACATATTTCATGAATACTTATAAATCCTAAACCGTAAATCCTAAACCCTAAGGAACGAAAATGTTTCTTGTTCATAGTACCCCAATAGTGGTGCAGGACTTGGCTTCTACTCTTCAGCCTTCTCAGCAAAGTATTTCTTCCGGCCAAATACAAAGTACAGTCGGCTCCGATGCTGAGCACCATGGGCCAGTTCTTCCAAGTCAGCTGCTAGGTTTCGCATGGTGGGTTTAGGGTTTAGGGTTTAGTTTAGGGTTTAGGGTTTAGGGTTTAGGGTTTAGGGTTTAGGGTTTAGGGTTTAGGGAGACTAGGGGTACCTTGTTGGGGTCCCTTTTTCTGCGGGGATCCGATTATTGGGGGGGGGGGGGGGGGGTCTATACTATATTATAGGGCTTGCTAGGTGTCCCGATTTTTTCGTAAAGACCCATGTGGCCCCTTGGGCGTTTAGGGTTTCAAGGCATGAAGGAATCCAGGGTGGGTTGCGAGCGGCGAGTTGTGCGGCGCTAGGCTTCACAATCTACAGCAAGATCGCGCTGTCGCCGATGATGTGCTTTTCGCACCCGAACGGAAAGACCGGCCTACTTGAGAACAATGCCATCTTTTGTTGGGAGAGCCCGGAGCACACGAGGATGCTCCTCGGAGGCATTCTTGTGGGGTATGGGGTACCACTGGGATGTTTCCATGGATGTTTGCCCCTAAACCCTAAACCCTAAACCCTAAACCCTAAACCCTAAACTAGGCCTGACCTCTTCCCCGTATACGCTTGCGAAACGGGTGGGAAAAAAAACCCTAAACCCCTAAACCCCGATGAGGAGCCTCCTTCCCAGTTGACTTTGGAGTCCAAAAGGCCTTAAGGCCTTGACCCTCAACTTGAAGCCAACTCTGTCTAGCCACGTCCTTGGGAAGTTTTTTTGTGGCTTTATGTGGACCTTCTCAGAGCACTGCCCCAAATAGACCCTGTTGCATCCCCCCCAAAAATAGTAGCATGAGCCTTAGCGTAGCATTTTCCCGCCCCGCCTCCCCCCTCCAGAAAAAAAGAGGCACCCCTAAACCCTAAACCCTAAACCCTAAACCCTAAACCCTAAACCCTAAACCCTAAACCCCACTCAGGAAGAAGTTTCAGAGGGGTGGCAAGCTGCGAGCCGAGGTTCATTGCCGGACTTTGTACCATCGCCTTGCTGGCAAGCGCCTCCGACGCGAGATGAGAGGGGTTTAGGGTTCAGGGTTTCGGGTTAGGGTTTAGGATTTGTGGAGGTTTTGGGATTTAGGGGTTTTGGGGTTTAGGGGTTTATGGCGTCAGAGGCCTGGATGTAAAAGGGGTTCTGAGAGAGAGGGTTTTCTGCTGGATTGAAGACGCGTGTACGCACAAACTGGTTTACTGTTCAGGGTGTAGGGTTCGGTGGGTAGTTTTCGGGTTCCCCAAATAGGGGTGCTCCTTAAGGTCCACCAAGATACTCTAATGTTGCACTGGCTTTAGTAGGTACCCCCCAAACAAATCTGGACTCTCTATCATAAAGACATACCTGCGAGACCCCCCCTGAGGAGGTAGTTTAGGGTTTAGGGTTTAGGGGTTTTGGAAATGGAAGCAGCCGGGCTTAGCTTCCTGGAATCTCCGGGCTCTGGCTCTTTAAGATTCCGGGAGCCCAAGGGCCCTGAGGGCCTCAAGCCTTTCTGCTAAAGCCCTTAACCCGAAAGACAAGCCAACCATCCGGAAAAAACAACAACTTGTGACAAAAACCGGTGACCCCAACAACCTGAGTTCGCAGAATAGTTTTTCGAAACTTGTCTTATAGACCCCTACAACACAAAAGCCAGCGCCACAGTATCCTGCACCCTAATTAACAGGGTTCCCCAAGCTGTCGGATACCCCGAGCGAGATCAACAGCGGCCCCTCTTAGTGCCATGCCTGGCGTGCATCAACGACTGTGCAGCGTGACGCGATGCAGCAGGAACATACTCAGGAAAGCACTCAAGTCCAATTCCAAAACAGGGGCAGTTGCTGCCTCGTGCGAGTGCGAGCGTCGAAACTGCCCTTGTGTTTCAGACCCCACGCCGCAAACTCCAAACCCAAAACCCTAAACCCCCACAGGCTTCTACTCGACAGCGATTTGGTGCACTGTCAGCGCGCCCCGGATGGCAGCATCTGGCAGCGCATGGCCACTCGCACCATCAGATTTAGGTGTTACATGCAAAAGTTGAGATGGTTTAGAGTTTAGGGTTTAGGGTTGAGGGTGGTTTAGGGCTCAGGGAGTTCTGGGACTGCGGGAGCTTACCGGGGTGACGTTGCGGGTTTTGGGTTTAGGGTTTAGGGTTTAGGGTTTAGGGTTTGGGTTCGAACACACCAGAGGGTCTCAGGAGCCACCTGAGCTGAGTCTCCAAGTTCAGCTGAACGCACCCTAAGCCCTAAAGAAATCGAAACCCTAAACCCCAAACCCGAAACCCTAAACCCTAAACCCTAAACCCTAAACCCTAAACCCTAAACCCTAAACCCTAAACCCTAACCCTAAACCTGCTCAGGTTCATGGCAGCTACGAAGTTCCTTCTCTTCCGCTTCCGCACGGACTCGTGGTGGTACGGTACGTTCTTGCACCTCGACGTCTAAGGTTGCCACCCTTGGAAGTAGGGTTTAGGGTTTAGGGTTTAGGATTTAGGGTTTAGGGGTTTAAGGTTTATCGGGCTGAGGGGTTTAAGGGGTTTGTGGGTGGGAAGAAGCTGGGGGAAGTAGCCATTGACTGTGTGGTGTCATTGCTACTACTTGCTTAAGAATTGCCCCTCCCCCCCCCCCCCCCCAAAAAAAAAAAAGAGTGTATATATATATATGTATATATATATATTGATTTATTTATTTATTTGTTTATACATATATGTATATATAATCAAGATAATCCTTCTCTTTCTCTTTTCAGGAAGAATATGCATCGTTTATTATCACCATTATCTTTTTTTTTGGGCGGGGGTGGAGGGGGTGGCGGGTGTAGGTTCTTAGGCAAATAGTAGGTGAGCACACCGACCCGACTTCATCATTGCTTTATGCTTGCATCTTCCTGTCGATGTCCGACAATCGAGCCACCTCGCCCGAAGCCTTGTTGGGTTCAATGGCCAACAGAGTACTTATATATACGTAAATACATTGACATACTTAGATAAACAAGTAAAAATAAAGAATGTATATGTATGTATATGTATCGCGTATGTATGTATTATATTTTACTAAACATGAAATTCAGCATTCTTGCTATTGTTGCTATTCTCGTTCTTGCTGTATCCGAACTACAAAAAACCAGAACAAACCCCAAGCCCTCAAAATGAGTAGATGGGACTCCCTCTGAAGGGATGACGCGTGAGGCTCCCGCGTGGCCTCGCCCTCTCAATGTCAATCGTCGTGGCCGCTGACAACCCGTACATACAGGTGAGGACACCCTAAACCTCAAGCCTCAGACCCTAAACCCTAACCTAACCGAAACCGGGCCCTTCGCCAAGAGCCTTGTCTGGGGTACATTGAGAGACCTTCCTAGGTTTGTTCAGCTTGTTGCGATGAAAGCGCGGCGACGTCAGTTGCAGTTTTGCAGTATGGCGATTATAGAGCCCTTAGACTTAGGTTGAGGATTGAGGGTTTAAGGGGTATAGAAGGATTGGTTGATCCATGCTGTAGTGATTGTACACTAAAACTATGTGGTCTGGATGCTGTGCGCGTGTGTGATATTCACCTGTTCATGCTGCGTAGTTTACACATTGATCTACTTAGCCGTGTACAATATGCATGCTTTCTTTGTTGATGGTGCTTATGGTGGATCATGATAGATGCCACGGCCCGCGAAGCCTGCCCATACCCCTTTTCCCCAGGGCCCTGGGAAAATTCGTTGCAGTCCTATAGCACATCTCATGCTTGTCGCTTTTGAACTGTGGAAGGGCTCACGAGAGGAGGGAGAATCACCCGAGACTTAGCAAACCGCCTTGACCTTCCCGCAGATGATTCTTATCATCTCCGTCATCCTGACATACATGTTGGTGTCTCTTGGCTGATGAGAGCTTGCGTAAAACTGCCCCGGATTCGTTCGAGTCTGTGTGGGGGGGGGGGGGCGTCAGATACCTTTGCATGGCTGAGGCTTTTCCAATTTGGGGGTTTACGAAAGTGAACTAAAATAGTCCCCCAGGCGCCGAAATAGAAAGATTTCGTTATAATAAGACCTCAATAAGGTACCCCTATTCCGGAAACCCCCATTTGAGTGTAGAGGTGTGTGCAGGCGTCCCACCGCATGTTTCGATAGATGCTCCTTTTCAGCGGAAGGAGTCGTCAAACGAGTGCCTGTGACAGAGGGAAAGAGAGAGAGAGAGAGAGAGAGCGAGACAGAGACAGAGACAGAGACAGAGACAGAGACAGAGACAGAGACAGAGACAGAGACAGAGACAGAGACAGAGAGAGAGAGAGGGGTTACCTGAAGGCTCAAATGTAGTTCTAGTATACTACCCCAAAAATGTGCTAATTACATAGGAGCCTTTAGGCAAGGATTTACGGCATCAAACGAGATGCTCATTCAAATTTTTCCTGTGGGCCGCAAGTTCTGAGGCTCTGTGCCCTCAAAACAGCTTTGATCCCATAATCCTGAAACCTGAGACCTTAAACCCTAAACCCAAAACCCTAAATCTTCCCAAAGCCATCCACAGCCCCAAAACCCAGCAGAAAAGAGGGTGTTTCGGGGGCCGAGGGTACGAGCAGAACCCGAAACCCTAAACCCTAAACCCTAACCCCCCCCCCCCCCCCCCCCCCCCCAAAAAAAAAACAGTAACAACAAAAACAACGAGGCAGCTGATCACCTGGCCCTGGAAGCTCCCGGCCCTCAACGCCTTCGACGCCATCGTGTCATCGGCGATGCTCATGATGATGGCCATCCTAGGCTCCCCTTGGGGTTTGGTGGGTTTGGAGGGTTTGGAGGGTTTAGGGTTTGCGGGTTTGCAGGTTTAGGGTTCAGGGTTTGGGATTAAATTTAGGGTTTAGGGGTGTTTCTTGGGGGAGCTGCTTGAGAATTTTGGGGGCCCCAGACCCTCCCAAAAATGCTCACAGCAGGGGCTTTCGCGCCTCCCCTGGACGACTTCCTGAAGGGCCAGCTCACAGACTTCGTCATCGGAATTGTCATGTTCTTGCTTCCAAGCTGCAGCTTATGGGGTTTAGAGCTCAGGGAATTAGGGTTTAGGGTTTAGGATTTAGGGTTTAGGGTTTACCCTAAAGCCTAAACCCTGAAAAGCACCCAAAGCTTGTGTGCTCAAGCCGGCACAACCTCAACAATTGCTTCAGAACCTCCAAAAAATCAAAAAATGTGCTTCCTCAAAAGGGTAATATAGGGATAGTTTTTTTTTTTTTTTTTTTTTTTGGGGGGGGGGGGGGGGGTTCTTAAGCAAATAGTAGTTCTCTTGCAGGAATTGTGTGGTCGTGGTGATGCTTTGCGTCGCCGCCTTCGGCCTTGTGAGCTGCCCTGCTGCAGCTGAGGGTTGTTTGGTTTAGGGTTTAGGGTTTAGGGTGTAGGGTTTAGGGTTTAGGGTTTAGGGTATACAAATTTAGCCTACATGAGTAAAGTCTGTAAATAATGCCTACTTTGACCCTGTTTGGAGCCTCAAGGTTTGGGGTTTTGGGTTGAGGTTCGTAGGGTGTCATACTGGAACAGGGCTCATCCTATTGTTATTGGTGAGTGTATACAGGGTTCCTTATGAATCAACCCTAAACCCTAAACCCTAAGCCCGAATATATGGCCGAGTCTATGTGTCGTGTTCTTTTGGGGATGTTCGAGCAGAATGTGGAGATGTAGCAAGCATTTGTCTGACAAACTGTGGCAGAGACCACAACCCTAAAACTTGAGCCCTAATCCAAGAAACCACCAGGGCATTCAAACCAGAGTTTAGGGTTTAGGGTTTAGGGTTTAGGGCTTTAGTGAGTCCGGGGCTGCGCAGAAAAACGCAGCGATCCTGGTAGGCTTTCCCAGGCTTTGCCCTCAGTCCGTGGTGAAACAGGGAGTACAATTGTGTACTACGTGGACAATGCGTCTTTCCGGGCTCCGAAATACCGTGCCCAAAACCCTAAACCCTGAAGCCTGAACCCTAAACCATGGTTTTACGTGTTCTGGTTAGGTTCCCTCCTCACATCAGAGGCCAAAAGCTGGAAGCAGTCTATCCCTAGCTTCCTGGTCAACCTAGACAGCCAAACACCAACATCAGGGTATATCAGGGTATATCAGGGTTTAGGGTTTAGGGTTAACACCAAGATCAGGGGCCTGCTGATACATGCCACCACACTTTGCGGCTTTCCTTAACTTTGCATCCTCCTCTCCGCTGCACCCCCCAAGCCGGTGCATCCCTTGAGTCCCTGCTCCGCGGCTCAGGACTTCTCAGCCCCTCTAAGTAGGCCATACGTAGACTTTGGGATGTACCCCCCTATACTAACAGTCCTCAATGGGGATTCTAAGTGGGGGTACTACAATCCCTATATAAGGGACTGTTAGTATAAATGGGAACATCCCAAAGTAGACTTGTAGTTGGAGGCTTTTCATGCACCTCCAAGTAGAGAGCCCGAACCGTTGAACTCGCCCATTCAAGCAATAGAGTCCCTAGAGCACGAACCTTCGAGTCGATGGGTTTCGGGTTTGGGGTTTGGGGTTTAGGGTTTAGGGTTTAGGGTTTAGGGTTTAGGGTTTAAACGAAGGCAAACTTCGACGTGTCTAAGGGTCCCTTACATACTCTCAAGGCTTCTGAAGTAGGGGCCCTGGGGCTGTGAGGGTATAGGGTTTAGGGTTTAGGGTTTAGGGAAAGCCCCCTAAACCCCGAACCCTAAACCCCGAAGCCTAAGAAAGGCGAGTTTCGTGGGCCCTTCATATGCTCCCTTAGCTTCTTAAAGGGGGTCCCCTTTTAAGGGGCCATGTAACTACCCTAAGAAAGCCCCCTAAACCCTAAACCCTAACCCCCAAGAAAGCCCCGTTCAAGCATAAGTCCATGCAACCACGGATGCTCCTGCATGAGGATTGAATACGATGGGCGGCTCACAGGAAAATTGGCTCTTGGCGCTGGGTGCCTTGGCTCACGTGGGCAGTTTAGGGTTAGGGTTTAGGGTTTAGGGTTTAGGGGGTTTAGACGTGGGCTGTGTTAAGGCTTAGGGTCTGGGGTTTAGGGCCTTTAGGGTTAAGGTTTGAGGGGTTTAGGAGGGTTCTCGGCCTTGCCGATCTTAGTGCTGGAAATGCACATGTTGGAGGTTGGGAGCATTGCTCTCAAAGCCCCGACGTATCGGAAGTCCCCCCAATGCACGGTCCACGGAACAACCGAATCCCTTGGAGCCTCACTCGAAAAGCTGTAGCTCAGAGAGCCCCTCATACTTCTTAATTTGGGATATTCCCCCTCATACTATCAGTCCTTAGTAGAATTGTAGTATCCCCGACTATAATCCTGACTAAGGACTGTTAGCATAATTGCGAACATCCCAACCCATACTTTTTATTCCAGGAATACACCCTGTTTCATAGTGAGGACTCCTGACTAGCTTACGGCGGAAAACTTGCTCAAGGGTATTGTTGGGCTCCCTGACCCAAAGCCCCGAAACCCTCAGACCTCATGAAGCCCGTAGTAAACCCCAGAACCCTCAAACCCCTATAACCCCTAAATCCAAACCCTATAAGATCCTAGAGCCCTAAACCCGAAAAACCCTCATCCTCAAGACCCCAAGACCCAGAAACCCTAACACCCCAAGCTTCTAGGACCCTGAACCCCACAAGACCCTAGATTCAGGACTGCTAGTATAAGGGGGAACATCTCAACCCTAAACCCTAAACCCTAAACCCTAAACCCTAAACCCTAAACCCTAAACCCTAAACCCTAAACCCTAAACCCTAAACCCTAAACCCTAAACCCTAAACCCTAAACCCTAAACCCTAAACCCTAAACCCTACACCGCCCTCCTGCCTTCGCCAGGCGCGATCCCGGGACCCAACCTTCTCAGCCAAAAGCTGATGGTGCTGTCCCACAAGCTACAGGATTTGTGGTTTAGGGTTTAGGGTTTAGGGCTCAGGGGCTCGGGGGCTCAGGGCGAAACAGTCCTCCAAAGTCCGCTGCTAGCAAAAGGGTGAAGCATGTTGGAAGCCAGGTGCAAACGGCTGGACAGAAGAGTTTTGGGCTTAGGGCTGAAGGTTTGGGGTTCAGGGTTTAGGGTTTAGGGCTTAGGGCTTAAGGTTTGGGGTTCAGGGTTTATGGGGTTTAGGGTTTATAGGGTTAAACCCTAAGGCTTAAACCCCTCAAGCTCGGAGGCTTGGGGTGGGTAGCAGGGTATCAGGATCTCAGGAGGGGAGCGGAGTTGAAGATTCAGAAGAGCTTCGCAGGCATGGACTTTTCGTGGCGGGTGGCTGCGAAAGCTGCCAAGCGACCAACATCTTTGATGTTCCATGCACTGCTTTTCTTTTGCAAATTGAAATGGGCAAGTTCATTTGTAAGAGTTGTAGCACACATGTATACACATAGATGCACTTGTATCTGTATGATGAATGTATGTACTATGTGCTGGATGTGCGTGCATTTGTGTCCATGTTGTGTGTTTGGTGTGGTTGAGGGTTTAGAGGAAAGTCTCCAGTGAACACTGCGTGTCTAATGATTCCAAATGGCCCTGCAATCAAGCCAGTCTTGGCGGTTGAAGGGCAATTTTAAGAGTATCGGGGGTTTACGATACTAAGGGACCCTTATGTAGACCCCCCAAAAGCAGCATCCCCTTACAACAAGGACCCCTATAAGGCACCCCCTAATATCGTCTCCCACCTCATGGAGAAGCCGCAACTTTGAAGATGACAACCCCCTAAACCCTAAGCCCTAAACCCTAAACCCTAAACCCTAAACCCTAAACCCTAAACCCTAAACCCTAAACCCTACCTTGAAGAGCGCTGAGTTCGCATCTCTACTCCCCCCAAAAAAGCAGGCCTCGGCACTTCTCACATCGTGAGGGTTTAGGGTTTAGGGTTTAGGGCTTAGGGTTTAGGGTTTAGGGTTTAGGGTTTAGGGTGTGCGGACAGGAGCTGGAACACGAGGCTACGGCAAAGATCCTGGGGAATCTCGGAGGAGTTTGGGCACATGTTCGCACCTGCATGAGGCGCTTGGCGCCCCAGGGGTAGGGTACACCCTAAACCCTAAACCCTAAACCCTAAACCCTAAACCCTAAACCCTAAACCCTAAACCCGCTAAGCGCTTCGTTGCTCTCGCAAACACAGCTCTGGGGTCTCAACCTCATTGCGCGCCGAGCTGGAACTCAAGCTTAGTAGAATGCTCAAGCTTCGTGCAGCTCGCTCTGCCCAAAGCGCCTAAACCTTAAACCGCAAACCCTAAACCCAAAAATCTCTGCCCTATAGCTTCAGACCCGATGGGGTGTGTTTAGATCGACAGCTCGCCTTTCGTCCTCCCAGCATCGGCGCAGTCGACGCATCCCCACATGCTCGTCGGCAGAAAGCTGTGATTGTTCGTGACCCCCCCTTGTGAGCAGTAGCAGCCTAGCTTTTGCCAAACATCGATACAAAGCCTCCTGTTGCACTGGCTTTAATAGGTAGCCTCCCCCAAACAAAGTTGGAGCCTCTATAAGAACCCTGCATATACTAAAAGCAGTGCAACATGAGACGCGACTGCCATCCTGGGAGCAAGAAGCCAGAGGCTCTTCATCAGGTTTAGGGTTTAGGGTTTAGGGTTTCTGAACCAAGGGCAGCGGCTCAAAAAACCGTCAGGGCTGACAAGGCCTTGTGACAAGGTGGGGGCCGCTCCCCCCCCCCCGCCCCCAGAACTCTCAGTTCCACAAGCCCACGTTCGCACCCTAAACCCTAAACAATCCTAAACCCTAAACCCTAAACCCCAAAACCTGCCATCCCTAAGCTAAGCCCTACAAAGGAACCTGTCCGTCTACGACCTGCGCATGGCGCAGCTAATCCTCACCGCTATCGGCTCGGAGGACGGCGCTTCTGGAGCTTTAGGGGCTTATTTGTTAGGGTTTAGGGTTTAGGGTTTAGGGTTTAGGGTTTACGGGTTTACGGGTTTACGGGTTTACGGGTTTACGGGTTCAGGGTTTCGGGTTTAGGGTTTGAGGGTTTAGGGTTTAGGGTTTAGGGTTAGGGGTTTAGATGTTTTGGGGTCTAGGGTTTCGGGGTTTAGAGTAGGGTTTCGGGGTCAGGGGTTTAGGGTTTAGGGTAGCCACACACCCATTTACACCCTAAACTGCTCGTACCCTGCAACCCTAAAACCCTATACCCTAAACCGGTAACCCTAAATTCCGAAGCACTACAAACCCGAAGCCCCCAAACCCTAATCCCTAAAACCCTTGACCTCCAAACCCTAAACCCTCAAACCCCAAAGCCCGAAAACCCGAAAACCCCCAAACACTAAAGCCCCAAAACCCCCAAACCCTAAAGCCTAAACCCTATAAACCCCCTAAACCCCAAACCTTATAAACCCTACAACCCCAAACCCCAAACCCTAAACCCTATAAACCTAAACCCCAAACCCCACCTCAAACCCTAAAACCCCAAACCCTAAACCCCAAACCCTAAACTAAGTGAGGGGTCGCTTCCGTCGAGCGACAGACCCCGAACGCTCGGCCGAGGGCCTTACAGCCCGAGCGCCCAAGCGAAAAGAGAAACGGAAAGGTGAGGGTTAAGCCTCACCGTCTGTCCTGGACAGGCCAACGGACATCGGCCTTTTTTTACGACAACGTCAGTACTCGGCTAAGGGATGGCCGGCACCCAGACCACCTTTAGCGTAGCTAAAGTATAACCCCAAAATCGTAACCCTTTGCTTCTGAAAGTCGGTTCAGGGTTTTGGGTTCAGGGTTTGTCGGGCCCCCCCCGGGGGCCCCCTGGTTCCTGGTAGCTGGATTCCTGGACCAGGAGGCTGGCGAGGGGTCCAGGCAGGCTGTTGCTCAATTTCGTGATTTTGGGGCTTGTTCGCGGACATTTTCGGGCCCCACTCCCGGGCCAAGGGCCCCCCCCGGGCCGACCCCCCGGCCCGGGCCAAGGGACCCCCAAAACCCCTTTGCGCCAAGGGTTCCGGCCAAAAGCGCCCCGGAAAGGCCCCCTTGACCCAAGGCCGTGCAAGGCCCCCGGGAGGGCCGGCCAAAAGGCCCTTGGCCCGGCAAGGGTCTTGGCCCGGCAAGGCCTTTGCCCTTGGCCCGGCAAACCGACCGAAGCCCCCCTCCAGGCCAAGACCCGGCCAAGGGCCCCAGATGCCCAAACACCCCTGCCAAGGGCCCCCCCGAACCAGGCAAGAGGCGCCAAGAGCCACCAAAAGGCTTCAAAAGCTTCAAAAGGCTCACTAAAGGAAGGGGGACCACAAGATTTGTCCGTGCCCACAATGAAAAATGCGATTTTTGAATATTGAAAACATTGTTTTTAGGCACCCCTGCCCGCAATGAAAAATGTTCTTTTTTAGTATTGAAATCGATGGCTCCCCTAGCCCTAAATCAGCAAGGACCTCTGCGGGCCCACGTGCCGAAGGCCCGAAAAGGACCGAGGCTACCCCGAACCCCAGCCTAAACCCTGACACCGCAAAACCCTACGACGGCCTTCAAGCAAATAAGGGCCTCTACGGGCCCTAACGTGCCGAAGGCCCGAAAAGGGCCGAGGCTACCCCGAACCCCAGCTTAAACCCTAACACCGCAAAACCCTACGAAGGCCTTCAAGCAAATAAGGGCCTCTACGGGCCCTAACTTGCCGAAGGCCCGAAAAGGGCCGAGGCTACCCCGAACCCGAGCTTAAACCCTAGCGATTGAAAGACTCATTGGCGAAAAATTCATTAATAGGTTCCCTGACCTTTAACTGAATAAAGCCTCTACGGCCCCTGACACGCCGAAGGTCCGAACAAGGCCCCGAGAGACCCCAAGAGCCACCAAAATACTTCAAAAGGCTTCAAAAGGCCCCCTAAAAGAAGGGACCCCAGGATGCCCGTACCTGCAATGAAAAATGCGATTTTTTGGCAGTGAAATCGATGCTTAATTGAGGCCCTTAAAGAAGGGGAATCCAGGAGCAGACACAAAGGGTTTCCCTGACCTTCAAATGAATAAGGACCTCTACGGGCCCTGACACGCCGAAGGCCCGAAAAGGGCCGAGGCTACCCCCAACCCCAGCTTAAACCCTAACAGCGCAACTTTACAAACATCAAAGCAAGCATCAGAGCACAAGAAAGTAAATTCCATAAACCCTAAACCCTAATAGAGTATAGTTTGGGTGGCCGGGGTGGGTTGACGGGCAACGCGAGCGCGCGGCCCGGGGTGTTTCACACCCGAGCGCGCGCCCTCCCCTGACACACCCTAAACCCCGAACCCTAACCCTAAACCCCAAACCCCCAAACCCTAAGCCCCAAACCCTAAACCCTAAACCCCATGACCAGGCCGGGGAGTCGAGCTTGAGGATAACCCGAACGGCACATCCGCTGTCCTTCAATGAGTGCTACTTCAAGCAGAAGGACCCCCGGAACCATCATCGGGGGGGAGGGTTGAGGGTTGAGGGTTTGGGGTTTAATTAGGGTTTAGGGTTTAGGGTTTAGGGTAGGGTGAAAAAGGGTTTAGGGTTTAGGGTTTAGGGTTTAGGGTGTAGGGTTTAGGGTTTAGGGTTTTGTGTTGAGGGCGCTTCTAAGCACTGGAAGCTCCATGTTTCAAGCAGGTCTTCCTTCAGTTTCAAGTCTTGGGGCTAAATGGCTTGAAATTGCAGCAGCAGCCTACTATTTGCTTAAGGACCCCCAAAAATAGCAATAGTAATCCCTATATTACCCTTACAAGGAAGAATATATATATATATATATATACATATATATATATATATTTTTTTTTTTTGTTTGGGGGGGGGGGGGTTCTTAAGCCATTGGCAGCAGCTGTCCGGCTGTCTTCTCTGGACATGCTCATGTGCCCTGCTTCAATGCGAGACTCCTGCACACCGTGGCTGACGCAGTACTGTAGGAGCCTTAATAATAATTAGAACAGGGTTTTGGGGTGTTCTCATGGCATAGATACAAGGGGACCATAAGGGATTATTGTTAGAAA